ACACACGTCGTTGGCAGTGCCGGTGGGGTGATGATACTGTCTGCGCGCGTAGGACTTGTTATGAGATTTGAGAGCTACACGTGTCGTTGGCAGTGCCGGCGTGTGAGCTATGGAGTTCCGTCCCCCAGTTGGACTACTCATCTCTGGACGCGGGTTAGTGTTTGGAAATCCTGCGTACCAGCTAACAATCCCCCGGTTGGCTTGTTTCCCTGGTACATTAGTATGGAGAGAAGTATATATTATATTATAGTTACAGTTATATATATTATATATATAAGTGTTTACGGGTTGATGAGAGTTGCATATCTTTGGGAATAGACTTGTGATTTGAGATTTAGAGATTTATTGAACTTTGGGATAATATGTTTTGAGTTTTTGGTTTCTGAACTGTGAAACTGCATGCTAGAGCACTATTTTTACATGGTGGGGTTATTATATTGATTTAAAATGTAAACTTTATTTTTTGTCCACTCACATATTTCTGTTTTGCGCCCCCAGACAGTAGTTGCTTTTGGAAGCGTTCGAGCAGGTTGCGAGCTCCAAACATTTCATCCGTAGATAGGACTTGTGTAAATTCCTTCTACTCAACTGTTTGTTATAAACAAATCCTGTTAGATGCTCTGTTATTGCCCATGTTAGGTTGTTACTTGAGGCCGGAGGCCACTTTATTTTGGATTGTTGTATGTTAAAAGCATGCTGGCAGTTGGGATCTATTTTATGTAAATTATGCAGGTTGAATGTTGTTGGGTTTGAACATTTTACAGGGGAGACTCTGCCAAAATTTTGGTAGGATGTCTTGGGTTTTTAGTAAGTGGGCCCGGCATCGGTGTGATGTCGGCACCAAGACGGGGTCCGCCCCGGTTTCAGGGGAAATTCTGGGGTGGGTCCTGTCACTTGAGGCTGAGCTTTGGGGCTTGTATTTTGGGCTGCATTTGGCTTGTGATAAAGGTATCTCTAATCTTCTTATTGAGATGGATGCTGCATTTGTTGTTTCCCTTGTTCAGCAAGTTGGGTACTTTGAGTTGTCATCCTTTTGCTGTGTTAATTCAGAGTTGTTGTGTTCTTATGAGGCGTATTGGCAACTGTCACCTTGCTCACGTTTACAGAGAAATAAATGTTGTAGCTGATCATATGGCTAACTAGAGCTTTAACTTGGATTTGGGGGTTAGCTGTTTGGATGAGGCCCTTACTTGGGTTAGCTCTTTTCTGGATGATGATTTTTTAGGAGTTGTTAGGCCTCGCTTGATCTATTCTAGTTAGTTGTTGTTTCTTTTTGGAGTTTGTCCCTCCTATTTCATCCAAAAAAAATAAAAAAAAATAAAAAGAGACAACAAATTGGAACACGACACTAATCCATTTTAATTGGAATAACCATGTATGAGCCCTAGGCCCAACCTTGAGATCCACCAACTCTCTGCAAGTGTTGAAAAGAGTAGCCCATATTGATTCTTCTGGGTCGGGTCAGGTGGTCTTGACCCAACCTGAGAGTAGTAAACCAACGACGACGATCTATTTGACCATTCCTCTGAATGTACAAACGACAAGCCATAACCATTCTCTCTCTGTGTCACTGAAGCTGTGTGGCAGAACAAATGGCGGGAGAGAAGCTGCTCACGCTGCAGATAGATGGCTTCCGATGGACTTGGCCGAGGTCGTGAGTCGTATCATCGTGCTTGAACAGTTGAACTCTAGAAATTACCCATTTCATATTATTTCGAAGAAATTAATCTTTGCTAATTTAGAAAACTAGTTCTGAAAAGCATTTTCTAATGTAATTCTCTTTCAAACTCGATATCTTTTGCAATTCAAAATCATCATCTTGTTGATTTAAAAAGTTTTTAAAAACCCAGGTATAGCCGACGGGCTATACTATTTATCAGAAAAATAAAAAAAAAACTGCTGTATAGCCGAACGGCTATACTATTTATTAAAATCATTTTTAAAGTAAAGTATCGGCTATACTATTTAAAAGGAAAATTTCAAAAACCTGAAATACAGCGGCAATATACTTAAGGAGTATAGCCGGGCGGCTATACTATGTATTAAAAAAGTTTTAAAAAACCCAAAGTATAGCCGCGCGACTATCCTATTTATTAGAAAATTTTGAAAAAAACTGAAGTATAGCCGCAATATAATTAAAGAAAAAAAGAGAAGCCCATCAGGTGGTCTTGACCCAACCTGAGAGGAGTAAACCAACGACGACGATCTGTTTGTAAAGTCCATGTCGTTTGCTGGAACTCCTTCCCTTCTTCTGAATGTACAAACGACAAGTCATAACCATTCTCTCTCTCAGTCGCTGAAGCTGTGTGGCAGAGCAAATGGCGGGAGAGAAGTTGCTGACGCTGCAGATAGATGACTTCCGGTGGACTTGGCCGAGCTCGTGAGTGGTATCATCTTGTTTGAACAGCTGAACTCTAAGCCTCCTGTAAGTAATTACCCATTTCATATTATTTCGAAGAAATTAATCTCTTCCTTTTAGCTTTTGAATAGATTAAAGCCAACCCTTCTAATGCACTTGTTTCAGAGTTTTTCACACGTACTTTTTTGTGTGGTTGAGTCGTTGACATTTAAATATATATATATATATATAATCATTCTGTTGATAAATTTAGAAAACTAGTTCTGCGAAGCGTTTGCTATTGTAATTCTCTTTCAAACTTGGTATCTTTTGCAATTCAAAATCATCATCTTGTTGTTTTAGTAGAAAATAAAAAACCCAACTGAAGGCAGTGTTCCAAAAATCGGCCTAGGCGGTAGGTGGTAGGAGGGCGCCTAGGCGGATCCTAGGCGTTAGGCTGGTGCCTAGGCGGATCCTAGGCGGTAGGTGGGGGCCTAGGCGGAAGGAGAGCGCCTAGGCGGATCCTAGGCGGTAGCCGGCCGCCTAGGCTGTAGGCGGGAGGATAGCGCCGCGATTTCACCCTAATCGTTAGGGGTAGGCGCCAGGGAGTTAGGCGGCGCCAAGGCGGGTCGGATGGCTGCTTCTTTACTCTTCTCGACCCAACCAGTGGCAGCGATGGTTCTTCTCAACTCATCAGAGGTATCTGGGAATTTTTCTTCTTTTCTTTGTAGCTGCTTCTGGGCTCATATTATTTCAAAGGCGCACAAAGAGGAGATGATTGAGGCAGAGAAATAGCAGGGAGGATGGAGGTAGAGAGAGATGGGAGGTGATGGAGGCGGATAGATGAGAGCTATATAGGATACAACGGATAGATAACTGAGGATAGGGTTCGTCCAAAAAAAGGTGAAAATAGGGTTAGTGAAACGCTATGGTTTACTTGTGGGCTGGTATTTTATCAAGGTTCTCTTATGGGCCCATATACTAAAACATAACCTAATTTTTCGAACGTTGACTGAAGAAGGAGTGTGAAGTTTTGATATAGTTGAACCCCATATTTTGCAGGATGTGGTCTTCTTCTTTTTTCTCTTGTATTATAGATTCAAGGTGATCTTCTATCTTTGAGTTTTTTCTGTTAAACTGTAAACCATGTACAAAAGAAGAGAAGTGAAAGAAATTTTTGCATTTGGAGCAAACTGTCAAACAACACCAAAAACAAGGCAGAGTCCATTTCCCACTTTGCAGCACCACAAACAATACATCCTTTCCGTCACATGTACAATTTATAATTCCACCCTCACCACCAGGACAAATGTCTATCCTCTTTCTGGAAGAAGTTTTCCAATTAAAGCAAAATTTTGAAAACATGGAAACCTAGCATTCAGTTCTCTGGTACAACCTAGCATTTAATGAATTATCTACATGATGAACAAATTGTTCTCATACGTAATTCATTTTTTTTCCTTCTTTTCGTTACGGCTAATATATATTAGTGTGTTGAAAAATACAACAGGATGCCAATTTCCCTGCCTTGTTGATCAACTTGAAACAAGAAATTGACAACATCACCATTTCAATCCAGACACAGATGTTCCACTCTTGTTGATCAGATACTCGTCGTCTCAGTTCGACAGATGAACTCCTTAGTTTTCAGATAGGCCGAAGCGAACAGGAACCCCCTTGACCCTGAGCCAAGCATTCCCTTTCAAGAAAGGCCCTACAGTATATTTCATAGCCTCTTGCTTGTCAATGACTTTGTATCCAGACCACTTGACCCTGTTATCAGTCTTGGCACCTGGTCCCTTGTTGTTATACTCTGCATAATACAGCGTTTTCAGTGCAAAGTCTCCTTGCCATGGTGTCCATCCATCTGGGTGAATCAGATCCTCAATTGTTGAGTCCATCACTATGGTTCTTGAGAATTCCTTCCATGGCCTCCCGAGGTAGGTCTTGAACTGAGACTTTACTGGCTCAAGATCTTTGTCAGGCATGATTTTGCAATTCTGCAGAACTATTCCTGTGGTTTCCTGTTTGTCAGTCCGTCCCTGGGCAGTAACAATGTTTTGTTGGTTTTCCATAGGTTTCCGGACGTAGATCAAGCAGTTCTGAAAGATAGCAGCAGCGTCACCAAAGATGAAATCAACGGTGCCTGAAATAACACAGCTCTTATAGAACTGCCGATGGGTTTGTGCATACAAGGTGTCTTGGTACCCTTCAAATCGGCAGTTGAGAAAAATAGCACGGTCTGCTTGGACTCTTGCTGCCACTGCCTGATGCTTCTCAGGACCTGCCGTGTTTCTGAATCCCATGGACTTTGCCATAAAACCTTCTCCTAAGGCCGCTGAAACAGAAACAAATGAAAAAGAAATAAGTGCCATTGACAATGGCATTAACTTCTAACAGTAAGTATGGAAGTGGAGCATATCATATGGTTTAAAATGGTGAGTTAGGCCTCAGTTCTTGCCTAAGTTTTGCACATACCAAAAGATGCAGTTTGGAATGTCCTAACTCCGTCTGCGAAGTTCTTATTCCCTGTGATGATGCTCTTCTGTGACCCATCACCGTATATGGTAACATTTGGCATCTTTTTTGTCACAATCACAGTCTCATCATAGACTCCTCCTTTAACGTAGATGATATATCTGAATTTACATAAGGGTAAAAACGAACTAATAAATAAAGATAGCAAGTGTGTGTAATTATTTTTTCTTCTTTTTCTTTTTCAGAAGTGAAGGAACAAAACGCATACCGTCCTTCATATTTTGCAGGCATGGCTGCCAAGGCTTCACTAATGGTTTTGAAGTTTCCACTGCCATCTTTTGCCACAGTCACATTAGGTGTGGGCTTCTCATCGTTTTTCTTCAACACCCTTCGCTCCTCATGGCTCATCCAGGTAGGAAACCTGTCCTTGTTCTGTGCTAGAAGACGACGTTTTGCTCCCGAAACTGCTGCTGTAACCGGTAGCTGGAATTGGGAAAGGAGTGAAAGCATGGCCAAGGAATTGCTGGTGAATTCCTTGGAGGCCTGCAACATCTTCTCCAAGTCAGACTTCAATTTTCCATCAGGAAACCCATCAACACACGTCTGCTGGTAAGATATGACTGCACTCAGCCAAGTGTTCAAGAGACCGGTTCGAATCTTCCCTGAAGCAGTTGTGTTGCCAATTTGAGAAATGGCATCCCCTAATTCGTCCATGGCATCTTCAAACAGCACTTTGCAATCCTCAAATGCTCCCTTCTCTTCTGGGCTGTTAAAAGTGAGCTCGCTGGATTTGCTGTAGGCAATCCTGGCCTCATCCGAGGCTACTGAGATAGCGGTCTTGATGAATTCCTTCGGTTTAGATGCGTCCTTTGCCTTTCCGATGATGCTCTCGCACTTGTCCTTGTAGTCCGTTGCACCACACATCTGCTTCATGATCTTCTCACCTTTTGCCGGCACTTTCTTCTTGGCTTGATCGTTCTTGGGTTGAGCTTTTGCCGGAGCAGGCTTAGAATTGGCTGTTTTGTCTTGCTTAGCATTGCCCTTCTTACTATTAAGTTTGTTCAAAAGTAAATAGGCTCCGACAGCAATCAGAATAAGCAGGACGACGACGACAACTGCAATGATAATTCTCTTCCTCATTTTACGTGCCCTCTCAGCCTTTCGGCGTTCGGATATCTGGTCGAAATCCTGGAATGCCATTGCGAGAGTGGCTAAGGCAGAGGAACCTCTGCCTTAATAATTCAGGCCCAGGCACACGGCGACAGAGAGAAAGAGACTGGAAAGAGATTGAAATACGATGGTGTTTCAGCTTTAATCAATTTCCTCTTCCTATCTCTTTGTTCTTCAGTTTGGAATTTGAGTCTCCGTTATTATTTTGGCAATTGACAGAGGAGGGCTGGTCAGGAGAGTTTTCAGGTTTTCTATTTTTCAAAAGTTAGTTAGAGATGACAACAGGGATCCTTTCCTTTCCAACCGCATTTCCCTCGCGAATGCTTTCCTTCAGGTCAATTTTCAGCTTCCAAAATTACGTCTAGACCCCCAACTCTCAAACTATATATGAGCATGTATTGTTCAAATTTGTCAATGAATTCAAAGGCTGTGTTCTTTTGTGAGGTTATGATTTTAGCTCCAACATATTCATGACTCAGAATCCAATCTACATTCTTCAACCAATTAAAGCACCAATGCTGCTAGAAGGATCAAATTTTGACCACGTTAGCTGCCCATATGAAGTGTACTTATAGCATCCATTGTTATGACTAATTGCCACCCGCATCAACTGCCATGTCATGCGATTAGCTAATACGACCGCAAAATGCAATCCAATCTACATTCTTCAACTAATTAAGGAACGAATGTTGCTAGAAGGATCACATTTTTACCATGTTAACCGACCTATATGACATGTGCTTATAACATCAATCGTTACATATTATTGTTAATCGACACATCAACTACCACATCACGTGGTAAGCTAATAGGATCATGAAATGCCCAAAATGTATAATAATATCAGAAAATATTTGACCTCATCCATACAACTAACACCTTTGGTGTACCTATCTTAAACACTTATAAAACATTGATAATATTTCTTATCTTGTAGGAGAATTCTTACATAGAAGAACAATCATTCATACAGAAATCCCAAAGATCAGATGCCATCATCATAAGGAAATGAAGTGGCCCGCAGCCATTCATCACCAATAATAAACTCTGATACTGTGAAGTTTGCTGCATCATAATAATCCATAATATGATATCCAGTCCACTTAACCCTATTTTCTGTCCCTGAACCAGGCCCATAATTTTCATACTCTCCATAGTACAAAGTGTCCAACCCTAGATCCCCAGACCACTGTCTCCACCCAGTTGGGTCAATAAAGTCACCAATGTAGGACTCTAGGTACACTGTCCTAGAGAACACCCTCCATGGCCGGCCTAGGTAGCTTTTGACAATGCTGGAGTGCAAGTCATCAGTGGCCACAATTGAACAATTCTGTATGGAGATTCCTGTGACTTCATCTGCTGTGTCTCTGGATTGTGCTGTGATGACCGTGAACTGTCCCGGCATTGGCATCTTGGATACAATGTCACATCCTTGGAATATCACTGCTGCATTGCCAAATATATAATCTATGGTCCCAAATATGTCACACTCTCTGTAAAATTGTCTGAAAGAGTGGACATACAATGTGTCCTGGTAGCCATTGATGATGCACTTGTAGATTGCAGCAAAGTCTGCATTCACTCTGAGAGCAACAGCTTGGTGCTTTTCTGGTCCAGCTGTGTTCTCAAATGTTATATCTCTTGCCAGAAACCCATCTCCAGAAACAGCTGAAAATTGAATATCACGGAAAATCAAAATGGGATTAAATTCAGGTTCACTTGTGAAAGAGGTTTTGGATGCAAGCAATATTTTACCATATGAAGACAATATAAATAAATGAAATGAAACAAGGGCTGCAGTAATTAAATTTTTAATTACCTAGGGTTGCAGATCTGAATGTCGTCCAGCCATCAACCACACTTCTGTTACCAGTTATGACAGTGATGTCTCTTCCATCTCCAAGAAGAAAAATGTTGGTCTTGTAGCTTGGGATTTCCACATTTTCAACATAAACGCCTTCCTTGACATAGATGATTGTTCTATCATAACTATTATTTGGAGCAAAATTAACAGCATCAGTGATGGTGGTAAAGTTCCCAGTCCCATCTGCTGCAACTGTTAGAACTTCACTTGGATCATATTTGTCGCCAGAGCTCTCCAGGATCCGGCGATCTTTCCTTGACATCCATGTTGGAACAGCCAAGAGATGCCGGTTTGTACCGCCTTTTGGAGCCCCTGGCTTTGAGATAACTGAGAGAGAATTGCTAACATACTTGTATGTACTAGTTAAGGAATTTACTAGAGCCGGCTTCATAGGGCCAGATGCAGAATCCAAGCCTTCCAAGCATGTGTTCTTGTTTGTAAGAGCAGCACTGAGGTAAGCTCTTGCATCATTTAGTTTCTTGGCGTTGCCTGCTCGAACCCGAGAGACGGATCTTTGTAGAGAAGAGAGTGTGATTTGGTGAAGCTCCTTACAATCCTGGATAGCTCCCTTTTGCTTCTCAACGATATTTGAGTACTGTCCAGCCTTGTAGAAAAGATCAGAAAGCTTCCCGGCTTCGGATATCGCGACTTGGAGAGACTGGAGGAGGTAGGTTATGATGTTAGGACTGATGTTTATTGAGACTGAAAGTTTCAATGAGTCAAAGCAAACATCTGGGTATGGAGTGGACTTGCAGAATGATCTTATTGAAGACAAGTTGGGATTAAAATTAGTAGTATTTGTGGAAGAAGAAGAAGAAGAAGAAGAAGAAGAATTGTGGAGAGCACTGCAGGTTGTTGAGAAGAAGATTATGCAGAGGAGCTGCAACACTTTTGCAATGGAGGAAGCCATAAGAGTAGTGTTGATGGGACAAAACTGACTCAAACATGTAAAAGAGAGAGTGAAAAAACTTAATGATGTTGGTTTTTCTTAAATAATATCTTTGGGAACGTAAGTTGCATGGATTTGCTTAATTAATGAATCATTACACGGGTTCTTATAATGTTCATCTTTGAAAAAGTATAATAATAAGACAATATGATTCTTGTATCTATGTATATATATTTATGCAGAGTTTAATTCCTTTCTTTCACGGGAAATAGACTTTATGCAGAGTTGTTGTCCTGTTGAAAAGTTCCAAAGCAGAGGAAAGGGGAGCTGCATTCAGAAAACCTTAATAATATTTTCTACGCATATATCTATTATATATATATATATATATATATATGTTTTATATCTCTGTTTTGTTTGGAGTTTCATGTTATCAGAATTCAGAGGGATGGGAGGAAGGTCTTCCTATCTCTGCAAAGATATTTTTCTGGCGTGTTTTAGAAACTATGGACATGAGCCACATGGCCTTGTCCTTGGCCTTGTGGGCATGGACTAGGCAGAGTGAGTCATCTTTTGGAGTTTGTGAGTCAAGACTTCTCCAAATCCATGAAAGCTCAAGCATAAGTCTCACTCACAAATTCCAAAATATGAGTTTGATATGTGTCTAGTACTCTATAGGATAGAAATTGAGGTGAAGGATTTTGCTAGGGACAGTTGCCCTACGAGCAGGCAAGATGCACCAATGGCTGGGAGTCATCCACGCGCTACATGTATCAATGAATAGTTGAGAGTCGTCCACTCGCGCGGGGGCATCTTACTCAAGCATGCTCATGTTGTGAATTTGTGTGGGGATATGTAACTTGGACTTCCGTGAATGCCAGGTTTTCCATACTAAAACACAAGCAGAAGGCATTACAACTTGATGGAAACGTTCACAACTTTGATAGAGAGACTTAGCAAAAGCATTAGATGATATTAACAGGTAATATGTTGCCAAACTCTAAATTAATACACACCACACTCTTGCAACATGACCTTTGTCTGGTGAAAAATCACGGGGTACAAAGACAATTATAAAGTTGTATTATTTATTTGTCCTGATATCTGCCAATATCTCACATGTCCAGATTCTTTTCTCAACAATTTTTTAGCCTTCTTTATCTATAGAGACCTGTCTTGTTTATATCCTACTTGACCGACTTATCTTAGCATCCCCAACAACTACCTGGTTATGCTGAGAGTTATAACCTATGGAAGGGATTCTTTTTTCTTTTTTTTTTTTAGACCAGTTTTTTCAGAAATGGTGGTTTTTCTACTCATATTTTGTTACATACTAGGATGAATTCATTTTGCGAGTTCCTATATTCATCAGCATGGCACACAAATAAAATACTTATCACAGAATTTAGCTAAAAAAATTTGATTTAAGAAGAAGATATGATTAGGTACAAGAGGTGAAATTACACGTTAACTGCTAAAATCCTTAAACCCCAAAATCTGCAGTATATTTGACACCAGTAGAGGGCAACCACAGGTTGCCTTCAATAAACTGGGCCACAGTATAGTTCTTGGCCTGAGTAGACTCGTTGAACACTTGATAGCCGGGCCACTTGACCCGGCTACCGAGACCTGCCCCGGGTCCATAATTCATGTACTCTCCATAAAACAATGAATTCAAAGCAAAGTCACCATTCCACTCAAGCCACCCTTCAGGCCTTATGACATTGCTCAAGAAAGACTGCATAATTACAGTTCTTGAATACAGCTTCCATGGCCTACCAAGGTATGTGGGTGTGGAGTTGACTGAGGCAGCTTCCAAGTCTGAATCTGCAGTTATGTTGCAGAATTGGATTGAAATTCCTGTTGGCTCATTTAGGTCCTTGCGGCCTTGGGCTGTGATGCTGTTCTTTTGGTTTGGGAGGCCTTTTTTGGCTAGGATTTGGCAGTTTTGGAACACAACTGTGGCATCACCAAAAATGAAGTCAACAGTGCCACTGATTTTGCAGTCTCTGTAGAATTGGCGCATTGTGTGTGTGTAGAGTGTGTCTTGGTAGCCCCTTATGTTGCATCTGTAGAAAACTGATAAGTCAGAATCGGATCTTAGTGCCACTGCTTGGTGCTTCTCTGGCCCTGCCGTGTTCTCAAATGTTATGTCTCTTGCTATGAACCCTCTGCCACTAACAGCTGAATTCACACAAAGAAAAATAGATCAATTTCGAATGGTTGACTGCTAAAGTACCATTACTGTAGAATGTATATCAGTGAAATATATGCGCCAGTTATATATAACCTCTTTGTCGGATCGGATACAATGCATGTAGATTTCTACAAAGGTTGTATACGGCCAATGCACACAAAAATTAATTGCAGAAAAAGATGTACATGTCAAAATGATAAAATGTTTTCTGATATCAGACTATTAAATGAGAGTCTATGCTAGGTGAATT